TGATTGCGCAACCACGATAAACACGTCCTAGTTTGTGTAGTATCGTAATTTACAAAAAACATACGATGCTAGACTCTTATCCGTAAACATTCGAACGGACTTTGGGCGGGCTCATGCGACCACTCAATCTACGTTATCGATTCATGTTACTTCCCCACGTCCTGAGATCAAGTACGTTCCTAAGTGCCTGTAAGTATGCGGAGTCCCCCCCCCCCCTGGATCGCCAGTCCACATAGACAGAATATCGCTCACTAGTTCAAACTTAGGAAAGTCGATCGCTTAGGTGAGCCAATGTACTCAATAATTCGTTCGGTAACTCACTGAACGAGGATTTCCCTGTGGTGCGTATTTCATACCATTGGGCACCAACTTGAATGCTCTAGTCCAGATATAACATTGCATCGATGTCAAAGAGTGGGGTTTCTTCAAAGAAAGGTGCCAGTAAAATACATTAATTATGCCATCTAGACAAGTAAATCTATCTTCTCAGTATCATGTTTTCAATTCCCAGCTGACTCCACATCCACATCCACTGCCCTTGGAATGTGGATTATCAGTTACTCGAAAGCTGCTACCGATGAGTTCAGTAGCGAAGTCGATGGTTGAACCGTTCAGTAAGGTGAGGGAGACAGCATCTACAATGATGTTTGATGGTTTTATAGTTGGATGGGAGAAGTGACTGTAGATATGATGAAGTACGCTATGAGGAAGTAGGAATATTCAGATTCGGAACACACTTACTAATCATCTGGCCGACTCTTTGCCAGCTCCATCTTGTACTGGTATCCGTGACACCCACCTGATTCAACAGCGACTCGTATACCAGCTAATGGGTCTTTTTCTCGTTTGGATATTGTTACTAGTTGCTGTAACGTAATTTCAGTGTTACAGTATTAGAATAGGAGATTAGTTCGTACCTCAGCAGCTCTGTCAGTAATCATCACCTTGGCATCATCAGGCGGTAGTAGCTCCACGTCAATTTCTTCTTGCTCTAGATATTCTGTTGAAGGTAGAGATAAAAGGATAGTCGGTGAAGCAGGAAGATGTTGGGTGATGGTCGCGTTCCGCCGAGGTGCAGAGACTGAATAAGCGCAGGGTCGTGTAGCACTCATTATTCGAAATTTGTTTCTGGTTAGAGAGTGAGATATTTGTCTAAGTGACAGTCTAGCAGCCATGGTGGTGAAAGGCAAGTGCAAGTGGCCGGCGCTTAATGTTGGAAATGCCGGCCCTGTAATGTAGCACAGCCACTACGACTCGTTCTTTCCTTTACCCATGTCCGCTGAAAAGGTTTCATTCACAATCCGCAGACCGACCCCAACCCCAATATCTAGAGCTGCTTCATCCGGTCCAGAATCTGACAGCTCATCGTTCAAAGTCCCAGCTATACCCCGTCACCTGACAAATAATTCCAGTACTCCCGGAAGTCCCCTCGCTAGAAGCGGAGATTCATCACCATACTATTCAGAAGACAGAGACTCTGACAGTGACCAGGATGACGATGCTCAGGACGAACTCGTAACTGGCTTTGATAAATTTGTTGGAATCCAACGGTGTGTCTTTTGTATCTTGTTCTTTGTTCAGCCATTTCAACTCACAAAAGTTGTGCTAATCAGATTACATGAGCGGAAGAAACCTCAAGGGCCACTTGTTATTCCTGCGCTGAAGAACCGAGACTGGCAAGAAGCTGCTCGTAGGAGAAGAACTCTTAACCAGTATGTCCCAGAGTCTGCTCGTGCGCAGACAGGCGCCGACGGCAGCGTTGGTGGACTCGGCACAAAGGACACTTTTAACGGTGGCCCTGTCGTCTCGGGTTTGCAATATAGGAAAAAAGCATCGGACGGCATAAAACGCGAGGATGATGTCGAGGATGATGTCGAGATGACTCCGTCTGAAGCGCCTATAGTAAAAGAGAATGAAGAAGACTCTGAAGACAAAGCCGCACTCAGAGCCCTTCTCGCCGGTGTAGATGGCGAATATTCTGGTCCTCGTGTCGATATTATCCCTACTCCCGTCTCTGAACAGGACGCCTACAAACAAGATGTCGAGGAACTTCCCGAACCTTCCTCCCTTGCCGACTACGAGCGGATACCTGTGTCCCAGTTCGGCGCTGCTATGCTCCGAGGTATGGGTTGGAAAGAGGGCACTGCTGCGTCGCGGAAAGGAAATGGTATCGTGCAACCGTACATTCCCGAATCACGACCTGCGTTGTTGGGTATTGGAGCAAAAGAGATGGAAACCTTTGACGATGGGTCCAAGAAGAATAAAAGTCGACGTCCGGAGAAGCGGTATATACCCGTTGTGAAAAAGGATCGGGATGGGAATATTATTTCAGAAGGGGATAGTCGGCCCAGGAGGGATGTGGATAAAGAGAGACGCCGTGAGCGTTCAGAAGGGGATAGCCGACCCAAGAGGGATGTGGATAAAGAGAGACGTCGTGAACGCTCAAGCTCGCCTCGACGTGAATCGAGGGTTTCCTCTCGACGGGCATCGCCGGATACACGCTCTTATGACGACCGTAGCAAGAAGGACGATAGAGATAGAAGGGATAGGGAAAATGGTCGCAGGGATAGAGATCGTGAACGTGGTGACCGCCGAGATCGCTCCAGAGAGTCAGAGAAGCGAAGGCGTTGATAAACTGTCCATCGCTTATGAGTCTCGCTATATTATTCTACTAAATGTAATACACGGAATGACTATGGTGTATCCGGTCATGTACCACTTTGACTACATCTCCGGATGCAGAGAAACAAAACAGAACAGTACGGTCATTAACCGCATCTTCGGATGAGATAGAAGGCGCCAAGATACCGCTGATTAACGGCGCTAAGTCGCGTGTGCGTTTGGCGCTCGATGCTCGTCACTCTACGCCGTCATTGTGTCTCGTCGCGTTGTGCAAGGCTTTCGACATTATCCAGAAATACTATGGCTAAACGCAAACTTGACGAAGGAAACGAACAAGGAGAAGCAAGTGGTTCAACTGTACGCCGGTCAACTAGAGTGACCAAGAAGGCAAAAGTGGTCATTTTGGAGAACCAAATTGTTGAAAAGATGGGGGGTACGCCAATGCATTTTGGCACTCATGCACTCATGCGATAATTTGCTTAATGAAACTTAGAGGAAGTCGAGATTGAAAAGACCCAAACGAAGAAGAAAGGGAAAGCCTCTACACAAGCTATCGATCTTTCATCCTTCCCCGAACGCGTCGAAAGTCCCTGGAAAGTAGGGGCACATGTCTCTGCTGCAGGCGGTGTTGAAAACGCGGTATTAAACGCTTCGAAAATTGGGTAAATGCTCGTCTTGCTACCCCTCAAAAATCGTGGGCTGATTCTGGCAGAGCAAATGCATTCGCGCTTTTCGTTAAATCGCAAAGGAAATGGACATCTCCACCTCTAACAGAATTAAATATATCTTCATTTAAATCGCGCATGAAGGAGCTTTCATACAATCCAAAATATGTCCTTCCCCATGGGAGTTATTTGATAAATCTAGGGAATCCAGACAAGTGAGAATTTTTTGTGGACTAAAGACTAACATGGTAACAACGATTCCTCCCGCCTTTAGCGAGAAGAGAGAAAAGTCGTATCAATGCTTTTTAGATGACTTGAAACGATGTGATGCGCTTGGTTTGGAATTGTACAATTTCCAGTCAGTCAACTAGTCATCATTTGGCTGGACGACGTTTAAAATATTTTCTTTTAAGTCCAGGTTCAACCCTTGGTATCGTAGAGCCCTCGGTTTCTATGACCCACATTGCTGATTGCATAAACCGATCACATCGAGACACTCCAGGTTCGAAGGTTGTCGTCGTCTTGGAGAACATGGTATGTTTTCCACCCATACGTTTTCTTGCGAGCCCTCTTCTCAGCAGTCTTGAAACATTTCATCAAGGAAGGCTGGCTCTGGAAACATCATTGGTTCAGACTTCGCTCAGCTGGGTGAAATCATACGACAAGTAGAAGAAAAGTCGCGCGTTGGTGTTTGTTTGGATACCTGTATGTCATGGATCTGGGTTCTATCTGTTTCAAGTTTGATCTTGTTCTAAAAGGCCATATGTTTGCTGCTGTATGTCCTGGATTTGTTGAAAAATGTCGCCACTAACTCACCACCTCAACACAGGGATACGATATTCGTTCGAAGGAAGGGTGGAAGTACGTTCCTCGATTGCCATCTTCATTCTTCATTCCCACCTTTTAACTCTTTTTTTAGTTCAACAGGTGATTGGGCTAGGATCCTTCTTACGATCTATCTCTGAGTACATTCCACTTCCTTCGCAGTCAAATCATTCGATACGCATGTCGGGTTAAAATACCTTCGGGGAATGCACTTGAATGATTCTAAGACTGAATGCGGTTCAAAGAAGGATCGGCATGATAATATCGGAGTGTGCGTAATGTACTGTTTTACGCTTCTACTTAAGATTAAATGTTATTACCCAGTGGTCATATCTCAATCCAAGCCTTTGCTCATATCCTCGCGGACCCTCGGATGCAAGATATTCCTCTCATTCTTGAAACTCCGAGTCATGAGGAGACGAGTAAAAATTGGAATGTGTGGGCAAAAGAGATCGAGGTGCTTAATGTGTTGTCATCTTCGACGTTGGAAATTCTGGAGCCTTCTGAACCTACGGACGTGGTAGGCGCTCGATTTGATTCGTTGATGCAAGATATCCGGGAAGTGATCAAGGCTGCAGGAGGTGGTAAAGCAAAAACTGGGACTGGTGCTTCTGTGCAGAGAGGTTTGAAGAAGGATAGTAAAAAAGAAGGTCAGGAATGAAGAGGAGGATGAAGAGGAAGGTGGTGGTAGAGAATATCACTGAAGTCCCAACCTCTGAGCAAGGATATTTCATCACTGGTCTCTTATGTATGTTGACGATAATTCGTTCTAACTGGTAACAAGGGCTAGAGTAAGCAAAATAAGCTATCATCACTCCCGCAAAACCCAAAACACGGTAATCTACAGTAAACCTGACAGGGACAGAAAAAATCGCCCTCCGTAGCTATTGGCCAACGTGGGGGTCGAACCCAAGACCTTCGCGTTATCAAGTATTAACACACGCTCTAACCAACTGAGCTAGTCGGCCATGCAGGTCCAAGGCATTTAGATTCCTCAGAAGGCTCATAATATAATGACGATGCAAACACTTGCTGCAGGCCCTTCTTATCAAGCTTCAGAAGCTTCAATAGAACTAACCCAGGTAACTGACGACCAGCTAGCAAAAAAAACGCGTCGAACACGTGCATCAAACGCGTTTATTTTGGGATCATTTTTTATCCCATACGTCCATACGTCCTCAAGATGGACATATGTAAACTCGTGGCCCGGTGGCCGTGGTCGCTTGACTTGTTTAAATTTCCACTCGCGCGTTATCCGGTTCACCAGTTTCTCCTAAGACGTTTAGGGGCCCGCAAAACCATCGAATTCACATAATCGCCCCACAACGTACAGCAGCATACGGCAAGCACTTGGCAATGCATTCAGATCCTCTACCAGGGCTTGACATGTCTCTCCTCAGTCTGGATCAAGACGTAAATGTGCTTGGTTGTCCGCTTTCTCTCTCTCCTGAACGAATGGAGGCTCCAGGACAATTTCATCGACGAAATTCTTCAGGCTCGGGCACCGAAATTGGCGGCGACAGTGATAGCGAAGGTACAATTGATATTGACGATTTAGACGACGAAGAACAGCTTATTGGATTTCCATTGCGGAGGATGGATGGCGATCCAGAAGACGACAACGAGGACGACAGATTGACTGCTTTATATGAAGCTTGTATGACTGCTCGCCTGGAAAGTAATCATGATAGCGAGGACACTAGTAGCGACACTACAGACACTAGCAGTGTTGCTTGGGATGAAATGTAGGTTCCAAGTTGTATACCCGTGCTTGTTCTCATATAGTTGCTCCAGTGATTTCGAGCGTCTTGTTGATTCCCTTCCTCAACTGTACGCAAAGCATTGCCAACAGAATTACGTGCGTGGTCATCCCTACTTTGTCGATGATTCATTCTAACTGTTGACTACTTAGGTTCCAGTGTACGCATCGTCGCAGGTTTCTGCCCCTCTTTCCTTACGCACGCTTAGTCTCCCTGCAAACCCGAATCCATTACAGAATATATCTGCACCGCAAGACGACAGCTCAGTCCTGCTCATCCTCCTTGCTCTCAACATTCCGGAACTGCGTTCAGACCCATGGAATCCCGTGCCAAGGATCTTGAGAGCCGTTGAGCGGATACGCGAATTAGACGAAGAAGGCTCAGTGGTGTATCTATTTCACCCACCTCTGGTTCCGCTTACACAAGACTCAGAGCACGACGCGGAACAGGGAACCGTTGCGCAATGGATTGATTTCTTTCGTCAGGTTCTTGAGGGTCTGACTTTCTTGCACGAGAACGACATTGTCTGGGGTGGGTTCGACGAGATCGAGCCGCTTTCCAGGAGTCCTTCTCGTCCTCCAGGTCTTGAAAACGAATCCTACTCTACAGTAGTGAAACCAGCGGAAATGTTCATGATGGATATTTCTTCTGACCCATATGCGTTTACGCCGACTACTCCCGTATCTGGAAGAAAGTCTATACAGTGGTCATTTGACCGCTCGAAATATCCGGTCAAGTACTATTTTACGGATTTCTGCAGGTCGAGGAAGATATCCCCTGAATCCTCTTTCACCAGCGACGTTCAATCGTGCGGTAGTTGGCTTGAATCTCTCATAACGCAGGACATTCCCCTCCTCTATAGTCACTTCCTTCCACTCACCCAATCAATGAAAAGCGGACGCTTTACGGCTGATGGAGCGAGGAAATTGTTTGAGGCCCGCGCAAGGAGCTTGAGTTTGTGCAGGGACAAGGATGGACAGAGGAATAAGCCTGAACTGTGGGATGAGAGGATTGCCTCTGTAAAGTGGAGGCCATCAGCAGCAAGGGCTGACAAACAACCCATTCGTGTAAGGAAAGCCAACACGATTGGCGTTGCTGCCTCATCTGGACGCGACGGATTCTTAAAGCCATCGTGGAACCGACCAGGAATGGTAGCGGGCGGTACCAACATGCAGGTTGCCGCAGACACTGTTGGAGAACTCCAGGTCCCCTTTTCCTTGGCCCGCTCAAAGTCGAACCCTAATCCCAACCCCATACCGTCTGAAAATACGAGGAGAGACGTGTTCGGGGATCTGAGTTTCGTCAAAAGTCTCGGTATTGGTAGCAAGCGCCCCAGCGCTATATCTCTACCCACTTCTGCATCGGACCCAGTATGCTTTGTTCACTCACCCAAATCACCAAATTCTTTAGAATTCGAAACATCAATCTTGGTTCGCTCACCTAAATCCCCCGAGTTTGAGCATTTCGATTCGTCGCCTCTGCCATTATCACCGACTCGAAATTCGACGAATTCAAAAGGGAAACAGGCTTTACCTACAGCGCCAGTATTCACTATTCCTTCCTTCGTTGCATTTCCCAGCTCCGAATCGATACCAGAAACGCCTTCTTCATTGAACTCTTCACCCCTACAAACTTCAAGTTTAATGCTGCGAGGGAGACGGAAGACGCTTGCGCTGGGTACAGGCATATTTAGTCGCAAGTCGGTGTTGTTGGGATCAGGTGGGGGTGTAAGTGGGAATGTCATTCCGGATTCGATACCAGAGGACTCTTCGACGTTGACTACTCCAGTGGTCGATCGACCAACTATGCTAGTGAGGATTGGTCGCTCGATATCGATGCCGGTGACTACGTCTGAGGCATGGGGGAGGTCATCGTAGACGCTCATTTGTGCTATCATTGCGTAGTCAGTTTTCGCTGAGTACGCTGTGGGTCACCCCCACCTGATGTGAACTTGGGCGGGATTCAGGCTCTGTGAAGAGGGAAGAATGTTCAATATTCAACTATACCCATTTTAATCGTGCTCGGGTAGCCGTTTAGATCTAGAGTTACATAGATTTTTTTTCGTTTATCATAACACCACTATGTCAGGTAAGTAGAGGTACATAGTGTAGAGGTTGAGCTTCCCCCTGCTGTGTACCAGGCTGCTTAAGAGAAAGCATGGATACATAGATTTCTTTTTCTGGTGATACCACTATTCTGTTATCAGACGGCACGAACGATTACGCAGGGCCCATTCCGCCGACATAAATGATTTATATCGAGCTGATCATACTCTGGACTTCGACAAATTAGTTTATCTTTTCTATTTGCACTTGTAGAGAGGGGTTGTGTCACACTGAGACTCGTCATCGTGTGGGACCAGTGGCAGTAAAGACACAAATAGGGGAGGACCATAGCTAGGTGAACGATCTCTGAATCGGGGCCATGGTTGTCCTCGCGAGGCATTAAGCTTGATACTTCACCTCCCGGCTGTTGCACCTAACCCGCCTTGTACATAGAGACCAATTGGTAGTACAATGAAACAGAGTCCAAATTACGCGTCCAAAATTATGCAAGGTGTACCATTGTTGGATGGTTTCGTGGTTTGAAGTGAGCTCCAAGAATTAGCGTCTTCAGACAGCGTCACTCCGGTGATACTTTTTGTTTAAATCTCGCGTAGTTTCTGTCGAGGAAAGAAATCTCACCTCTACCTATGTAGGCAAAGTGATTAGAGTTATCGATCATTCAAATTGGATCCGGTCCAGAATGGCGCTTAAAACGTCGCGTGATAAGGCGTCAACTCGACCTTACTTTGACCCAGGTCCCGTCCAAATTACATGGATCGCCTCCTTCTTTTCTCTCGCCTCCATGTCTCATGATTATGGTGCCACCGGGAGCTTGTCCCAAGACCACGATGCAGAAGACTCTTCAGGAGCAAGCCCGGATAAAACTCTCGGAAAGCTTCACCGAGGACTTTCCGCTCGTCAGGTCCAAATGATTGCTATTGCTGGTACTATCGGAACTGGCCTATTTCTTGGTGAATTTTATTTTCCAAAGGTATCAAATAATTTATTAACTCGTTCCGTAGGTACCGGTAAATCTCTTGCGGAAGGCGGTCCAGCTAGTATTCTAATTTGCTATGCTGTCGTCGGATTCATCGTTTATGTGACTTTACTCCTTCTTGGGGAAATGGCTACCCAGTACCCTGTAGCCGGTTCCTTCAACGCATACACGACACGATTTTTTTCTCCGTCTTATGGATTTGCATTGTCTTGGAACTATTGGTTCAATATACTTTCTATTATCTGTAGCTTATACTCACTTGGTCTAATAGGTTCAACGATGCTGTTTCTGTCGCGTCGGATCTGACTGCCGCTCAATTGGTACTCCAGTTCTGGGACGTGAAACATTCCTGGATCGTCAGTTTAGTGTTTTGGGTCTTTTTGGTGGGGATCAATGCAATCCATGTAAAGGCATACGGAGAGCTTGGTGAGTGTAGGTGCTCCCCACTCTATATCTGACTCACAGCGCACCAGAATACTGGCTATCTTTCCTCAAAGTTGCCACAATTATCGTTTTTATCATCCTTGGTGTCCTGGTCAACGTCGGTGTAAACCAAAATCATGAATACATTGGAGCGCGGTACTGGCATATCCCTGGCGCGCCTTTTGTTGGAGGATTCGGTGGATTCGCCACGGTTTTTGTTACAGCAAGCTTTGCGTACGGTGGGACAGAGAGCCTGGGAATTACCGCTGGGGAGACAAAGAATCCAAGTAAAAATATGCCAAGGGTGGTCAAATTTGTGTTTTGGAGGTAAGATTTGAATTGTAGTGTATACGAAAAAGTCCTCTCACGACTTCGCTTTCAGAATCCTGTTGTTCTACCTCTTGAGTATATTACTCATAGGACTAAATGGTAGGTAATGTTTCCTGCTGGCGTTCGTCTTTTCTGACTATGACCAGTTCCCTGGGACTACCCTAACCTTTCCAACAAGATAACGACCACGTCTCCATTCACCCTTGTATTCCAGCAAGCAGGATCCAGTGCGTATTTTCCTAAATGACGTCTAAGCTTTTTATACATTCTCGTTCATAGACGTCGCTGCTTCATTTATGAACACAGTCATCCTCACCTCTGTTTTATCTGCTGGGAACCACGCGCTTTTCGCCGGTACGCGCGTGTTATACGGTATGTGACTACTGCAAGTTACAATGTCTACGATGTAATCA